TCAATTCAATAGCGATACTACTACAAAGGAAAGCAAGAAAGTGATTACCGTAACAGTCAGATTAGTGGTTACACCAACAGGAAGAGGTGTTTATGATCAGAAATAGCCACCAAAAGGGGTGCTTCTGGGGTGCTTTAATCCTAACCTCGGTGGTGGTTACAGAGATGTTTACTTTATAATTATTCATTAAACTGTACATATGTTTTAGGCAAAAAAAATATATGTTTAAAAATCTCATGGTTGTATTCCTGGTGGGGCATGGAGGGGGGAAGAAGCATATATATTCATGGCTGAATTTGAAAAACACTAGAGAGAGAATTCTAAGTTAACCGTATCATAAGAAAAAAAAAATAGCAAGTAGAAAATCGGCCATTTAAGAACTTTAAAAGAAGTTCCAGAGGATCATGCAGACTCCACACATAAACTTCCCATTTCCCTAAACCATTCATACCTTGGGGACTCCCAGATCAAACTTTATATTTTGCAATATAAAGATTCTAAGATGCTATGAGTATGTTAAACACTGCTTTACTATCATAGCTTGAAAATATGATCATTATAGCTACAGCATAATGACAGATGCTCTCTACCTTCGGAGAACTGCATTTTTCCTGCAAATGAAAGAGATATATACTAGAATCCAAGTATCTTAAATGATTACCTTCCTGGAGTAGGCAGGGGATAAACTTTTGCTTTTTCTTGGTTTACCAGAAACAATAATTTAAAACCATCATGACAGTATTAACAAAATATCCAGTTCAGCAAAATCATTTCGTTGCATATGTATAAAAGTCAAATGATGACCCTTTAAGATTTAAATTCAAGGAAAAATACCAATTACAACTAAAGCAAGCCATTCAGAAAAAGATAACATGAGGTAAGTAGATGACATAATCCTTTAAACTTAATTCAACATGATATGCAGCATCACCAAGCTTCCATCTACTTTTTTTTTTTTTAAGATTTTATTTATTTATTTGACAGAGAGAGACACAGTGAGAGAAGGAACACAAGCAGGGGGAGTGGGAGAGGGAGAAGCAGGCTTCCTGCAGAGCAGCGATCCCGATGCGGGGCTCGATCCCAGGACCCTGGGACCATGACCTGAGCCGAAGGCAGACGCTTAACAACTGAGCCACCCAGGCGCCCCGGCTTCCATCTACTCTTAAAAGCCTTTTTCAAAGATCTCAAGTCAAAACATAATTTATAGATAATACAAATAGTTTCCTTCTGACTTACTATACAAAATAATTAAATTTTTTTTAATTTTATTGTTATGTTAATCACCATACATTACATCATTAGTTTTTGATGTAGTGTTCCATGATTCATTGTTTGTGCATAACACCCAGTGCTCCATGCAGAACGTGCCCTCTTTAATACCCATCACCAGGCTAACCCGTCCTCCCACCCCCCTCCCCTAGAACCCTCAGTTTGTTTTTCAGAGTCCATCGTCTCTCATGGTTCGTCTCCCCCTCCGATTTCCCCCCCTTCATTCTTCCCCTCCTGCTTTTTTTTTTAACAAATAACTTATTATTTGTTTCAGAAGTACAAATCTGTGATTCAACAGTCTTGCACAATTCACAGCGCTCACCATAGCACATACCCTCCCCAATGTCTATCACCCAGCCACCCCATCCCTCTCACCCCCCACCATTTCAGCAACCCTCAGTTTGTTTCCTGAGATTAAGAATTCCTCATATCAGTGAGGTCATATGATACATGTCCTTCTCTGATTTACTTATTTCACTTAACATAATACCCTCCAGTTCCATCCACGTCATCGCAAATGGCAAGATCTCAGTCCTTCTTGGCCTTTCTCTCTCTCATACGTACACATTTGGATGGTAATGAATACTTTACTGTATTAGGACTTCCATTAAAGTTCATATCTAATTACCATGTTCTTACTTAGTATCACCCGGTCTTATTTTTCTCACTGATAAATGAAGCAATGTCTCCCTTCCCACGGGCACATTCTATGACTGAAATCTTCACACCTTATCTCTAATCTTTCATAGCTCTAATCGAAAGGAAAATATCCACTGTCCTGGCAAAATAGGCAAAAAACAAAATATTTCAGAAAGAAAGGTCAGCCACGGAGAACCACCTTTAATTCATATAGCTGCCAAAACAAGTTACAGCATTAATCCTGAGAACGGATAAAGTATAATGAAATAGGCACAAGCATTATGTCAGCAAATCATCAGGTCATGACTAGCAACACTACTATCATTCTAACATGTAATCTACTTATCACAAAGACTAATTTCTTCTACTTCAAGTCATCCGTGAGTCATTTTCTCAAACAAGAGACCTTGGTGTCTCTTCTCTCCCTTCGTCATTTAGAACATGTTACAATGTTAATGGTTGTTTCTCTCTCCATAGCTTCAAAATCTCCTGGTCCATAAGTCAAATCCCTCAGTTTTGGACACCTGCCATTCTGATTAACGAAGCATTGTTCATCAGCTTCGTGATAGTGGACTCTTTATTCAATCCAAAATTTTAAAAATTAACATTAATTCTCATCACCTGCCACTATGACCTCCCAATATTCCCTATTTTAAATCATCTGAACTATACTGACTAGCTCACATAATGTAACTTTAGTCTAAATTAGTGTCCATATAATACCTAGAATTCAACTTACCTATACTTCAGTACTTCTCAAATCACAGCATGTCAGGTAAACAAGTCACAAAACAAACAGGGCACATTATGGCTCATTTAGTGCAACGGCAACTTAAGATACTTTTTTTTTACACTTAAACATACTATAGAATAGACTTTAAAAGCTGCATTAATGTTTAAAAAGATTTTAAGGAAGTTTCAAAAATGAATACTTTGGATACTCTTTCATCTGTCCAAGTATACCGTTGGAAAAGGTTGACAAGGTACTGTTTTAGGCAATTTTCACTGAAGATGTAACTATTACATTCATATTCTGGTCTGTTCTGGACAACTCTGGAAATTGGAATTTTTTTCCAATGAACTTTATATGAGAAAAATGTTTTACAGAAGTAACCACTGTGACCACAAATATATATATATCAGCGTCAACCACATGTTGTATCAACAGGAAAAATGAATTCTAGTAAAACAAATCACATTCCACCATGGCCCCATGAACAATGAGGAAAAACGATCTTTAGAAGAAACTAGAAATATGCCACTCAAGAATATTTGCCTTTTAACCCTGGCATGTTCCAAAAGCAGAAACTGTCTTCGCAAAGAGGCAATATGATGCATAAAAAAGGTCAAAGAATTTCAAGTACAAAGAAAAGTTTTGGTCTCAACTCAGCTACTTCCTAGTCTCTAAAATTAGCAAAATAACATGATCAGATGGGTATGAAAGCTCTGTAAACAATAAGTAGCATAAATCATTCCCTTCTCTTTCAGACTGTATCAACAGGGACTAATGGCTTCTCTTATCAGGTATTTTCATTAATATGGGTAGCAAAAATTTTCTTCTTTACTACTAATGCTCAACAAGCAAGTCTAAAAACTATAGCAATAATGAAAAGACAAAATTTTACAATACACCTACATTCTTTAGACAGTTTTCTCATTCATAACTTAAGTTTACATTCTAAAAGGGGAGAGGGAGAACACTTTATAACAATGTATCAAGTGGGCCAAAAGTTATACTGAAGTTAAACCTAACAAGTGACAAACCAAAAATGCAGAAAGACAGTACACAAGAGTGTAAAAATCTACAATTAATAGTCTTCCATTGCCAAAGTCAACACGCTGAACAAGGCCGAGGGTAATTTGTTAGACGCGTATGAGAACTGTTTGACAATTTTATGTCATCACTTGAATTATAAAGGACTAGGATCTTGCTGCAATTATATACAGTCCTCTCCATACAAACAGAAGGTAGAAATGAAGTGATTAATTCAAAACCAAACATGATTAATTTAACGTGACAAAGTATTTTCAGTTATAGTACACTGCATACTAGTTAAAACTCACTGATTAAATTTGATCTTATAAAGTGAAGACTGTTTCAAAAAATTATTTGAGCACTAGGCTTTTTCCTGTTTTTTAAATCAATTTGAAAGGACAAAAGTAAAATAATAAAAACAAAAATTAACACTGCCTTTCAAGGTTTAAAAACATCTAAGGTGAGTGCCCTTAGTTAGCATTTTTATGTAGAAGAAAATTGTCAGAAACATCCTTAGATCATTCTCTACTTCTCCCAAGTATCAAATAGATGCCTACAGAAATATTATAAATCTGGAAAGAGTACTGGAAAAAAAAAGATTCTCTTAAATAAATTAAACTTAAAGGAAAGCAAATGCAAAATGACAACAGGTCTCAATTCTGCCACTAAGATAGAAATGACTGGTTTATTATGTGGCCCCCATTATTAGAGTACTTTCTCTATATTTTCTTCTGAACAGTGTTTCAAGCCATCATAACCATCATATGGTGCAAGTACTACTTATGGAGGCCACAACATAAAGAATACTGATGTCATTCATTCTACTTTCTAATATCAAGACTTAAAATTATAAAATCTACAGGTACTATTTCTATTTTTTACATGTATTACTCATGTGCCTGGCACATAAATGTTATTACTAACTCAAATAATTACATTAAGTGCTGTGATTTCTAAGACCTTCAGTGTTACTAATTTAAATTATTATATGCCTTACTTCCCTCAAAATACTAAAAGACAAACATATACATGAGAAGTAACTGACTGGAAGAGCATGAAAAAAGTATACTTTAACATGCAACAGAGGCCTCTTATTCATTGTGATAGATGTTGGTAATTGTTAGTGATATGGACTGAACTGTGTCCCCCCAAAATTCATATACTGAAGCCCTAACCCACAATATGACTGTACTTGGAGACTGAGCCTTAAAGGAGATGATTAAAGTTAAATGAAATCATAAGGGTGGGGCTCTAATCTAATAGGACTGATGTCCCTGTAAGCAGAGAGAGAACCAAGAGTATGTGCATACAGAAGACATAGCAAGAAGGTGGCTACCTGCAATCCAGCAAGAGGTCTCATCAGAAACCAAACCTGCTGGCACCTTGACCTTGGACTTCCAGCCTCCTGAACTATAAGAAAATAAACTTCTGTTATTTAAGTCACTCAGTCTGTGGTATTCTGCTATAGTAGCCCAAACAGACTAATACTACAGTTAGTTAATTGAAAAAGTCAGTAAAAGCAGGAAAAAATGAAAACGTTTTGTAAATATGCTGAACATCTTAACTTAAAAAACCGAATATTCATTTATCAATCTTTTGATATAGAATCAGGACCTATAAAGATTTTCAGTTTTGGCTTCTGTAAAATGATGCAAGAACTTAAAGATTCTTTTTTTTTTTTTAAAGATTTTATTTATTTATTTGAGAGAGAGAATGAGAGACAGAGAGCACGAGAGGGAAGAGGGTCAGAGGGAGAAGCAGACCCCCTGCTGAGCAGGGAGCCCGATGCGGGACTCGATCCCAGGACTCCCGGATCATGACCTGAGCCGAAGGCAGTCGCTTAACCAACTGAGCCACCCAGGTGCCCGAACTTAAAGACTCTTAAAAGCAATCTGGGTAGGGAAACCTAGAATGGGCTAACTTTTTTCCAACCCTTTATAGTCATCTCACCCATTCCCAGTCCAAGAGTCTTTCTTCGCAACTCACTTCATCCTATCTTTCTGAAGTATTGCACTTAGCTTTTCTAAGTGCAACAACTTTATTCTCACACTCACATTTCACTGGTCTAACTAGCATTTAGTTAGACTACATAATTACCATACCAAATATAACTGACTTAAACAGTTCACAAAACAAACACAACTGATTCATGGCAAACAGACAATTCAGCTGGTAGGTACAGAAGTGTACAGACATAGTAGAGATCAAGCAAGTCAACAGCTGGAAGTATCTGACATGTTACAGGCATAAGTATTGGTGTTTTAGAACAAAAATGGCCAGTACTAGTTAATCAACTGAATTTGAAATGGAGGTTAGTTAAGAGGACTTCTACTATATATCCAAATAAATGTTGTCTGGCCAAAATTGTCACTTCAGAAGATTGTCATTGTGTCAAACAACTTGGAAACCCCTCTTTTAGAATTTCTGAATCTTCTTAATGTTTTAAATATTTAATAGTAGATCATCATCCTTGGAACAGGTTCTGATTTCCAAAAAACAACAATTAAATGACCAGTCTGCTATAAAATGTGAGCACCAAAGCCCAGTAACACAATTTGAAGAAAAGCAAGGTGTTACTATACAGCAAAATAACTGTTTAAGGGGCGCCTGGGTGGCTCAGATGGTTAAGCATCTGCCTTCGGCTCAGGTCATGATCCCAGGGTCCTGGGATCGAGTTCCGCATGGGGCTCCCTGCTCCGCGGGAAGCCTGCTTCTCCCTCTGCCTCTCTCTCTCTCTCTCTCATGAATAAATAAATAAATAAAATCTTTAAAAAATAAATAAATAAATAAATGTTTAATATTAATATATTTTTTAAATATAAGTCTAAAAGTTTCAAGAATATACAGAATAATTATGATATAAATATGAGTACAAGATGCCACCCCAAGGATATTGTTTGAATATAAACTTGTTTTAAAAATGACAACCACTTATGTTAATTCTATCACATATACCTGTATATAAATACACAAACACATACACACCTACACAACCACCCCTGAGTGAACACAGATCAACTATTTATATGCATAAACGGCTTACGCTTTCTGAAATGCCCTGATACTGGAGCCTGATTACTGAAGAGAGTTTATGTCACATTGAATCTTATTCGGTAATGAAAAGGAGTCACTAAAGTTTTGGCATAAAGAAGTTAGGAAGAGTCATTTAACAATTAAGAACTAGAGGTGTGAAAAATGGAAAAAAGATAATTTAGGAGATGATCAGCACAAACCAGGTATATGGTGATAAGATCTAAGAGACAGATAGCAAATGAAAACTAAAAGGACAAAAACAAGAAATATATAATAATATATTCAAAAAGCACTATATAAATATTAGTTTTCATTACTGTGAAAGAATCCTTAAACTATGAATTAGATGAAAAAAAATCCAATGTGGAGATGAGTATGACAAAATCTTCAGGCAGTAACACTCTGTTCTTTTCTGCTTACCCTACAGATCAAAAACATAGATGGGGCTTACTCAAGTTTAGTGAATTTGGGAAAGCTATGGTTGTCAATCCAGATAAGTATAGCCCAAGGAGCATTCTGCAGATTTAATTAAGCTCCATTATGAGGCATTTTTCATATCAATTCTCATCTGGATATGAAATAACAGATGTTTTGTTCTTCTCAAGAAGTGTGTGTGTGTGTATGTGTGTGTGTATTAGAGAAAGAGAGAGAGAGAGAGAACAGGTGTTGGGCCCTAACAGATAACAGCAAATTACTTTTTCCATTATATAAAGTGACATTTTCTCTTCAGAATAGTCTGTAATCGAGCAGGTCTTGCTTTTGGAGAAAAAATGGTAACTAGTAGATTGCTAATTAAACAACAGTTGTTTAATTAAGTGTGCTTTTTTTTAACTGCACTAGTGGCAAAGATGAGAAGTTAAGGTCAACTTCTATTTCTATTCTGCTATTCAACTTCTATATCGAACCCCTACCCTCTAAATTCCACCAAATCCCACAAACCTCTTGAACTTCTGCCTCTTCCTGAATTCAGTAACTTTTTAAAAATCAAGGACTAACAATTCCAAACTCCATTACAAGAAAACTAAAAAAATCTTTGGATTCTTCCAGAATTTATCCAAAAAATACTAGGATAATTTACCTCAAATTTCTTCACCTTTTCCATTGTTATCAAGCGCCTTGATGTGTGACTGGAAAGCTTCTGCTCACAGTTGCTAATAAGTTTCAGGCAAGGGTGCCAGGGTACCATCTCTTCAGTGTATCTGAAGAAAGAACAGCTGACTTTTAGGAACACTCACATGCAAAGACCACACAGGATCATCACAGAGTTATCCAATGTGGTAAGGACATCCCCCCACTACATGCTGTTCCATTTTATTTCACATAGGCTAACTGTCCAGACAATCCATAAACAATCTGTATTTTTTTTTATTTTATTATGTTATGTTAATCACCAAACATCATTAGTTTTTGATATAGTGTTCCATGATTCATTGTTTGCGTATAACACCCAGTGCTCCATTCAATACATGCCCTCCTTAATACCCATCAACTGGCTAACCCATCTGCCCACCCCCCTCCCCTCTAAAACTCTCAGTTTGTTTCTCAGAGTCCATAGTCTTTCATGGTTCGTCTCCCCCTCCGATTTCCCCCCCTTCATTTTTCCCTTCCTACTTTTTTTTTTTTTTAATATATAATGTATTATTTGTTTCAGAGGTACAGGTCTGTGATTCATCAGTCTTACACAATTCACAGCAATCTATATTTTTAAAAAGCAAAGTATTTCAATATTACCACATCCAAAAAAAAAAGTAGTTTAAATTATTTTACCTGTAGACTGAGAATATGTTTTATGGAAGAATACCAAGCGTTTAAACCACAAAAATACAAGACAATGACTCTATCCTAAAGGATTCCAGAAGAGCACGTAAGACAGAAATATATTCTACAACAACCCCCTGACATTCATGAGGGACTGATTCATGTGGAGATTTTTTATAAATTCCCAAAGAATAATGTCCACTCAGCATATACTTGCCCTATAAAATGAAGTGTCCCTGCAAAATTTTAATGACATCTTAAGACTTCTATTAACTTTGTATATACAGGACTAAGGTTAGATTATTCAAATAAACTACCAATAAAATAAGCGCTCCATGGTCACCTTAACCATGAAATAAAATCAAAGCCACGATCATGAGCAGGGGTGACTGCTGCTACGCAGCACACATACTATGTGAATGGAGAGGACATCTCGAAAGCAGGACAGTCAGGGTGCAGGAGTTCAGAACCTGACATCTGACAGGTTGTTGGCATCACTCCTGGTAGAAGAAACAGGTGACAGATGAGGGGGAAACGGCTATGGAGCAGAATGCTGAAGAACAGCAGCGGAGGGGTCTCACTAGGTATGGGTACCACTAAGAACACTGTAGATTGCCAGTTTTTATTTTTCCTTTGCAAATCTTGATACCTTTCTAGATAGTCTCCACAAACATTTATCACATGGGAAATTTTAAAGCTCTGGTCCAAACTGGGAAAGGTGCCAATCAGCACTTCCTGTAAAGGACCACCATCTCAGCTAGCCTGTTCCAATGCGTCAACATGGTTTTCACTGCCACTCTTTTACTGACTTCTCTAGCCCCTGTGACCTTCAGTGAGCTCTCCCTCATTACCTCAACCACATGCTCAAAACCTTCATCACCCACTTACCAGGCAACATTCATAATGCACCTCCACTGTATTATCAGTGGAAGGAATTCTCTTGAAGTCATTCTCTGCATCCTTCCTTAAGGCTTTCCATTAAGTAATGAATGACCATTTCAGTTTTCGCCTGATCTAACAATTCTCTAATGTTCACTATATAGTCAGAAATGTTGGTATTTCTCGTAACATTAGTTGACATCAAATCTGTAATCTTCACACGAAGCATTTACGATATGAAGGAATACATTCTACACCATGGTTAACAGAAAGAACAGCCTTGACCTTAAGCTTGAAAAAGCAGGGTTTGTGGATGTATGAAACAGTATTTGTCAAACTTAGTTATGTACCCTTGTTTTAAAGGAAAAAAAAAAATCTTATTTCCTGGCAGACTTGACTTAAAGTATTACTAAAATGTAACGTAAAGATATTTTACATTACGTTTAAAGAGATATAAAGTTCATATGCTTACATCCCTTATATAACTATAAAACCAAAACAAATTTACAAATCAAATCTAAAAGTACAAAACCAATACAATTTTAATTGATACTGATGACCCAAATCATGCTAAGCTGCTGAAACAGAGTCACCAGGCATTTGGCTTAAGAGCAGAAAAACAAATTTTTGTTTTAGATTAGCTTTTCAGCTTGATCTTTGAGTTCAAGCATGAAAGAACATCATTTGGGTAATCATTATCATTAACAGGCTTGTTTTTAACCACTGCCCTATTATACTAGAACCAATCAATTTAGCAGTATACTCCCAAAACACCATGCTAAGAATTTTAAAATATCAGTTAACAAAAAATTCTTTACTATATGTGTCCTAATATATTTCATACAAACATACTGCAATATACTATTTGCAAACTGTTAAAAATAGAAGCCATAAATCCGTACTACGCCTGGGTCATTATGATAGTATGGTATGCTACCTTAATTTCATTTTTATTACTATAGCCCTACAATCCAAACAATCTATTTAAAACCTAAATCAGCCACAATAGGAAAATCCAGAGAGACAGATAAGTGGCTGCCAGGGGCAGAAGTGGTGGTGAATGCTTATGTGTATGGGGTTTCTTTTGGGGTGACAAAAATGTTCCAGAATTAGAAAGTGGTAATGGTTGTACAACTTTGTGGATATACTAAATACCATGGAGTTGTAAACTGTAAAAAGGTGACTTGCATGATATACAAATTATATTACATCATTTTTTAAAAAGCAAAACTGTGCGCATAGACCCCTAGCTTTTCCACGAATCAATTTTGACACTCATTTTCCTATGAACCTTCACGCCTCAAGCTATTTCCAAGTGTCACTAGAATTTCACCTCCCATTTGAGAAACAGATTTTGCACTAATTAGAGCACTCACTGAAAACAGTTCAAAGGATCACTTTTTCTTGCTTCCTAGTTAAGAGATGAAAAACATGAGCACTGGGTTTTACACGCAATTAATGAATCGTTGAACACTATATCAAAAACTAATGATGTACTATATGTTGGCTAACTGAACATAAAAAAAAGAAAAAAGAAAAACATGTTCTTTCACTGCTCTGAGCTACTCCAAAATTCACTTTACTAAAGTTTATTCCCTAGGTAAATCAAACCATCATACTATATACACCTTAAACTTATACAGTGAGGTATGTCAATTATTTCTCAATAGAATTGAAAAAAAATGTACCCCCCAAATCCTACACTGGGGCATACTTTATTAAGCTTCTTTACTTTGTCAACGTTTTTATCACAAGCAGTAGCAGTGGGATTTCTATTAAAGAACATCTTTCACAAAGAAATGCAGTTTCTAATCACCTCAAGAGAGTTATCTGTGTCTAATGCAAATGAGAAAAGAACACTATGGATACATAAAGTCTGAGCAGACAGCTGCACTCAGTAGCTTAGCAATTCCTATAACATCAAACACACGTGAGTTGAATTTATGCCATCCAAATGACTATCACACAGACCTTCAGGGTCACTTGCAAGTAGCTAAAACTGAATAATAAACCCATAAATACCAACAGCTTACAGTAATTTTATGTGGTCAGTCTCTATGAGTGATAAGAATAAACTACTATGACAGCACAGATGAAAGATTAATTCTGCTGAGAAGGGTTGGAAAAGTTCATAGAGGTGGTGACAGTTAAGCCAGGTCTTGAAAGATGACTAGAATTTTATCAGCTGAGGAAAGAAGAAATGGTTTATCAAGCAATGGGGACAGAATAAATAAAGGTGAAAAGATACAAAGTGTACAGAGCATCTTGATACTGGCAAAAAATCCAATACACTAGAGTGGGGAAAATCTATATTCGAGGAAATACAGCAAGTTTGTTGAGTAGCAATTTCTTCACTGCAATTTAAATTACCAAACAGAAAATCCTTTTTCAATTATCAGCTCTGACAATTCTTCACAAATAACTAAGCTTTTAGATAATACTTTATTTTTATTATGTCTTACCCTTTTCAAAATGCCCTGGGTTTAAAGAATACCTGAACTTGATTATAATACGTAATTCTTATTTTTTTTAAAGATTTTATTTATTCATTTGAGACAGAGATACGGAGAGAGAGCATGAGCAGGGAGAGAGGCAGAGGGAGAGGGAGAAGCCGACTCCCCGCTGAGCAGGAAGCCTGATGCAAGGCATAATCCCAGGATCTGGAGATCATGACCTGGGCCGAAGGCAGACACTTAACTGACTGAGCCACCCAGGTGCTCCTATAATTCCTATTTTTAAACTTGAATCGAGTAACAGAATTTGTTTGAATAAATAAATTCAGTAGTAGGACTAAAAGCCTATATTTACAACACCAAAAGTAAAAAAGTTTTAAAATTGAGCTGTGCTAATGTATAATTTTAAAATGAAATCTTCATTCTTAGTTCAACAAAAAGCCATATTTTTAATACAACATAATCAAACTAATTCTAAATTGTTTAATTCAGAAGCAAGAACATTATTTCAAACTTTTGCAGATGATTTTGGTCTTAAAATCCTAATAATATTGTGCTATTTCAAAAGAACAAAGATTTTGTATGACATACAATACAGAAGTGAAAATAATTCATTTCCTAATGAACACTAAGTTCATTAATAAGTTAACAGTAATAATAATTAATACTTCATTAATAAAATCACCTTAGGCTAAAGGGAAGGAGACCATATTCTTCCTATAACTGCCCTGAGGTGACCTCTGAAAAATGGTTTGCTATTCACTTGACCCAGAAAAACCCTACAAAATCATGCAAATCAAGAGGTTCAAATCTTCGCGTTCACTTTAAGAACACAAATGAAACTGCCCACACCGCCAAGGCAATGCATATCTGAAAAGCCACCAAGTATCTGAAGGCTGTCACACTGCAGAAGCCATTTTATCTCTACACTGATGGAGGTGGTAGGTGTGCCCGGGCCAAAGAGCTGGTGGCCCAAAAACAGTGCTGAATTTTTACTGCACATGCTGACAAATGCAGAGAGTAATGCCAAATTTAAGGGTCTGGATGCAGACTTTCTGGTCATTAAGCTCATCCAGGTGAACAAAGCCCCCAAGATGTGACATAGAACGTACAGGGCTCATGGTCAGATTAACCTATACGTGAGCTCTCCCTGCCACCCTGAGAGGATCCTGACTGGAAAAGAGCAGACTGTTTCTAAACCAGAAGAGGAGGTTGCACAGAAGAAAAAGATACCCCAGAAGAAACTGCAGAAACAAAAATTTACTGCCTAGGAGTAAATTCTGCATAAAATAAATGCAAATAAAAGTATAAACAAAAAAAAAAACAAAGGGAAGGAAAAACAGAAGTCTAGTAATGAACATCAGAGGACGTGGACATAACTTTCTCCAGGGATGAAGTCAGGGAAATAAATATCATAGTCTTCCCATGTGTGCGTTAGCCACATACCTGGACGAAATCTTTCCCTTGATAAACATCTAAGGTAAAAAAGGTGGTAAAAACATGTATCCCTTTTCTACTTCTAAAATATCCCTCTGATAATATGCATTTGGAAATTTTCCCTTGTTGAAAATTATTAAAATCAAGAAGTCACTGAAAAAATATCCAGTGTCCATTTTGTAAGATCTTTAGAAATACTAAAAATACTTAAAAGTACCTCCAATTTAATTTTGTATAAAGAGAAAGGAAAAAAAACAAAAGAACTACAAAAGATATTCTTAAGTACATTCAACTTCAATTATAATTAAATAATAAAGTACAAAATAGTGGACAGTCAGAAATGCTAAAAAATAAGAAGTACACAAAAACTAATGGGGATATTTCAAAAGGACAGAGGAACCACCTCAAATTGACTCCCACTGATCAAATCTGAGACAATCTGAGCAACAAAATAGTGACAGTAATGAATTATAACCCAATGAATAATATAAGCATCCATGATTCCATAGCAAAATAAATTAATAAATTTGTAAACAAATGGGGAAAATTTGTAAACAAATGGGGAAAGAAGGGAAAACTCTTCCTTACAGTAGGATGCCAACTTACAAATGCAGAAGGAATGATGGAACACAAAAGCCATCATTGTAGTGGTTGTCAACAGTGGAGTTGTCAATGTGAATAGTGATTTGATGAAGAACAAGATACTGATGTAAGCTTGGGATATCTCCCCCATGAAATACTAATCAAAGGAGAAAATGATGGCTCACAGTGGAGAACCCTAACAGAGAACAAAATGATCAGATGATCAAGTTTCAGATCGCTAGTAGGGGTTAACTCCACGTGCCCCATGATGCAATGCATGAAAAACACAGTATAATTTTTGTGGTGTTCCTACCAAGGGCACTACCTAAATCTGGTCATAAAAGAAACATCAATTTTCTCTCTGACCCTCCTTGCCACCTCCCTCTCTAAAAAAAACAAAAACAAAAACATCAGATGGACCCTGATTGAAGGTCAACCTTTAATATAAGCCATATACTCTACAAAACTGTCAACGACACAAAAGAAAAGAAAAGAATGGAGACATATTCCAGACTGGAGGAGAACGACATGATGGGTTAATAGAGCACATTTTCTCAGATGGACCGCTACTGGCAAAATTTGAATAGGGTCCATAAAATGGACAGCAGTGTTATCAATGCTGATTTCCAAACTTGGAGGGTTGATTGTGGTTTGACAAGAATGTTCTTATTTCTAAGAAATATAATGAAGTATGCAGGGGTTATGGGGAATCATTATCTGCAACTTCACAAATAGTTCCAAAAAAGATGAATTGATAATGGGTATGTGATTAATGTAATGGGTAAGGAAAATGGGTAAGTTGGAAAATCTGGATGAGGAGAGTTTTTCGTGTTACATTTGAAACTTTCAGGTAAGTCTGAAATTACCTCAAAATAAATTTTTTAAAAATTTAGTCCTGAAACTTGAGTTAAAACAGTAAGCTTCTCTTTCTCTCTCAAATAAATAAATAAATCTTTAATTAAAAAAACAGGGTAGGGGGACACCTGGGAGGCTCAGTTGGTTGAGTGTCCAACTCTTGGTTTCGGCTCAGTGATCTTGGGGTCATGGGGTCCAGCCCTGCATCAGGCTGCAAGCTCAGTGGGGAGTCTGCCTAGGATTCTCTCTCTCCCTCTCCCCGACCCCTTCCCCACTCTGCATGCACGTGTGTACATGCACACTTTCTCTCTCAAATAAATAAATCTTAAAAAAAAACAGTAAGCTTGCTGCTGGAATTCAGCTTGTCTAAGGCAGGAACCATTTTTGTATAGAAACAAACAAAAGTGATCTTCTCCAAAAATATTAGTAAAACTCCATCTATCACTTCACATACCAGGCACCTGAGATCTGGCAGACTGCTGAATTAAGTGAACACAGCCACAGGAATAAGGAAACCAAACAGCTAGCTAGCTATTAACTGTAGACAAGTCACTTCACTCCTTGGAATTTATTTTCCTTATTTCTAAAGTGAAAAGATTAAATGAGATTATCACTAGCAGCAAAACATAAGGCCAGTATTAAGGAGCCTGGGCATGAATGCGTACACTCTTATCAGCTGATAAACAAATGCGTGACTAAAGTCAGGCCATGGTAACTTCCAACACAACATTTATAAAACAAAAAACAGCACAGCTTCCAACTGCTGAGGACCATCCCCATTTTGTAAAGATAGTAACACTGTTTTAAAATGCTTTCTGTACAATTATGTATAGTAAATATAGGAACTAAAACAATTTTTAAAAAGATTACTATGGCAGATTAGAGAAACAGCCAAATTTTGAGCTTGATATTAAATTTTCTTTCAAATTTAAAGATCCTGTCTTATTCAAGATATCTTGTGTTTCATTGTTGATGTACACAGCTCTGCTTATAAGTAATAATTACTGAATAATAAAACCCAAACCAACAATGTGGAACATAATCAGGGCTTTAAATACAAGCACAGCTTTTATTTTGGTGTTAGCTTTTAAAAAAGATTTATTGCATTTAAGGCGATCATAATAGCCAATATATGTTAAAGCTAGCTTGGAGCAGATGAATCCCTCAACTAAATTCATATATTTCTGTCACATGTTCTTTGTTTTGTTCTTTTTAACGACTATTTAAAAATGTAAAAAACCGTCTTAGCTCAACCCATCTTAGCTCAAATGCCTTATAAAACAGGTGAGGACCATATCTGGCCCACAGGCTATAGTTTGCCAACTCCTGATGTAAAATAAAAAGGTCAAAGCAATTCAATCAATAAGAGGAAGGGGTCTGTTTTATACACATATGTAGGTAAACAAAGACTATTATAAACATTAAACACAAAGATATTTACCCTGAATCCAATTAAAAATAGGGAAAAAATGTTAGATTTACAAATACCATAACAAAAGTGAAATTAAAAATAAAATTAGTTAACATTACATACTCTGGTGTGTACACTGGTAACCAATAGACTAGTCTTCCACCTAACACAAGGGTCTCAGCTGCAAAGTTTAACAGGTCAAAAAACATATCACTCAGATGATAACTCAAGGAAACAGGAACATGGCTTTCTGGACTAGAAAAAGAGAACAAAATTTCAAAATCAGTGAAAAACCTTAAGACTGTTAAACAGCTAATTAAAAAGAACAACATGCTTCTTCTCAAAATAGTAACATCATATTTAACTTTCACTTACCATTTTTCCATGCCCTTTGGTATTTCCTTCTGAGAACCTGTTCTTCTTGTAGATTCTCTGATACCATATGGAGCTAGACAGAAAACACAAATAATGTGGATAGTCAAAAGTCACCTCATCACCAGTTAGGTGTAGATGGATATCATGGGCCTCCAGATGGGACACTCGGAGAGGAACACATCGCCACCTGTGAAATATTCCAGCCGAGAATGCATAACACAAGGAACATTCTATTTAAAACACTGGGAGGGACAACAGGCCACCATGTTCTTGAAAAATGCCTATGTCATGAAAAGACAGAGAAAGGCTGTGACAGTGTGACAAACTAAAAGAGATATTACCAAATGTAATACCTGACACCAGACTGGATACTGTCCCAGAGGGAAAAACAAAGAAATAAAGGGATATTACTGGGTGACTGACAAAAGTGGATGACAAAATAAAATTAAACTATTGCATTGACTTATTGAAAATGTTAACTGTACTCTGGCTACCTAAGAGACTATCCCTATTTTACACACTGAAGTATAGGGGTAAAAGGCCATAGTGTATCCAACTCACTCTCAATGGATTAAAAAAAAATTATACTTTATATAAATATACATACAGAATGAGAACAAACAATAAATTGGATTGTTAATAAAAAGTCACCCAATTTTTATAAAGTAGATTCAAACTGACAGTGTAATGCCTTGATAATTTTTCTTTTGTTAGGTCTGAAACCACCTGAGTTACCAAAGAACTGAAGTGAGCTAAGATGGAACGGTTGAGATACACTTGCCACTATTTACAGACTTACTGCAAAATATGGTAGAAAAGGCCAAACTATTCTTAGATAGGATGCCTGCAAAGCCCAGAACTCATGGGGCACAGGAAAACAAGTTCTCATTCACATTCCTGAAGCTCAGTGGGTTCACAAGCCTATTGGCTCAAAAAATCCCAAATTTCTTGTAACTCTAGAAAGGGGCTGTCAGTGAAAACATGTGCTACAAAAAAACAAAACAAAACACCAAAGCTTACACATGGAGAATTATGTGATATCTAAAACTCTCTTCTTTGGGGCACCTGGGTGGCTCAGTCAGTTGAGCGTCCGACTCTTGGTTTCAGCTCAGGTCATGATATCATGGTTGTGGGACTGAGCCCCATGTTGGGCTCCATGCTCAGTGGGTAGTCTGCTTGAAGATTCTCTCCGTCTGCCCCTCCCCCCAACTCATGGTCGGGGGAAGAGGGGGCGGGCACATGCTTTCTCAAATAAATAAATCTGTAAAAAAAATAAAAACTCTCTTCTTTGACATCTGACACTAATTGCAAATGACATTTTGGCTCCAGTTGGTATACTAATAACCAATTATAGTTAAAAATTTAAAACAAATATATGCTCCAAAAAATAAACTGAAGAGAAAAAGGAAAGACAGATTAACATATATAATTTAAAAAACCAAAAGAGTAAACTCTTAACTACTTAGTTGAATTGGTGTCCTGCCTTATATTCACAATTTTTTCCTTCTCACTATGTGAAGAAGTCTGGGGGCAGGGGGAGAATACTAAAACAAGCTGGCATTTTTCTGTGTGTTGATAGATTTTCTACTTTAAATGTAAATGACTTTAGGAAACTAATCCTACTCTTACTTTTGTATAAAAATAAACTTACGATCAGTGATGATTGCATCAAAATATGTGCCCTTCCTCCAGGAAGGTTTAGATGCATCTGAAACCAGGACATCAAGGTAATACTTCTCTAAACCATATTGACGAAGATTTGCCCTAATGTTTTCATCTGGTCCTCTCCATTTCTGGTTTTTCCTACTAGCCTTTCCTAAAGGGAAAGAAAAAGGAATACAGAAACTACTAAATCAAATAGAGCATTCTTATTTCTTATTGTTTAGCTAAAATAATGTTTAACTCATCTAAACCTACATTTACTCAAATAAAACTTGATTTCATTTAAAATCATTACTTTATTTACATAGTTATTTTTATTTCAACTTACTACAAAAATATATTTTGAATAGTAAAATGTACTAACTGATCTTGTTCTGTCACCTTTCAAGTAAAACTGCCTTAAACACTCATTCAACACATACCGAATTGAAAGCATATACAAGTAAGATACAAAGCTGTCTAGAACATGGCCCCTTTCCTCCAAGAGCAAATAGCCCCATATAAAATTGGGATGAATCAAATAAATGAAACAGAAATGAAGAGAGCTAACTTGGAAAATGAAGGAGTGTTATGACCATGGAGAGAGGAGGCCAAATGGAGACATTACAGATGAAAAGTTAAAGTGGGAGTTGAAGGAAGAAGTTCAAAAGTTCTGATTTAGGAGACCGTTGATTAAGATCAGAGAAACCAGGGTGCCTGGGTGGCTCAGTTGGTCAAGCATCCAACTCTTGATTTCAGCTCAGGTCATGATCTCAGGGATGTGAGATCGAGCCCACCACTGGGCTCCACGCTTAGCATGGAGCCTGCTTAAATTCTCTCTCCCCCTCTGCCCCTACCTGCCTTCTCTCAAAAAAAAAAAAAAAAATCAGAGAAACCAAGAGGAAAAACAAGCTTAGGGGAAAAAATGAGATATGAGATCATGCTTGTCAGCTACCTATAGAACATTCAGAAAGAGCTATTCAGTGGGTAGAGGCCAGAATATATATACTGAGGAGATATCAGATATGCACTTAAGTTAAATCCATAAGAATGAATGACATTTTTTATTAACCTAGGTGGCAGTTACATGTTTTCTTCTATAATTATTCTATTTTTATATACTCTTCTGTATCTTGATCTACTTCACAATAAAAACAAAACTTAAAAAATCAAAAGAAGAAGAATGACATGACTCTGCATAACATGCATTGTGAGAGAAGTGGTCAAAGAGAGATGCCTGGAAAAAAGCAACATGTTAGCACAGGTCAAAGAAATCCACAGGGCCTTAAGAAGATGGAGATGGAAAGCCAAGAAAGTAAAAGTACCAATGAGGCCACGGTCCAGGAAACCAAGGGAGGCTTTACGAAGGTCAACACCGCCAAATGCTATAGATTTATGGCCCTAGTAAGAGTTTTCAGCAGGCACGGAAGCTAGAAGATAATGGACAGAAGACAGTGAGAGATGAAAAGACAGCAATATTAGTTTGCAAGATGCACTTTGGCAAAAGGAAAGGAAAACAAAGTGGCAGTTAGAGGGTCCCTACAGGATTGATAGGAAAGGTTTTGTATTTTTAAAACAGGAGATTTTTGAGAATATTTGAGTACAGAAAGAAATTACAAGCATATGAAACAGAGGGCATATTTAACAGCATCTTGGAAAAGCTCTGAGAAAATTCTACCTCAATCAGAATTTTACCCAAGTAGACTGAAAGGTTATAACATAACTTTCATAAATAAGCATTCTAATAAATTATATAGGACAATCTCCTTAAAGCAAACATAAAGCTTCTACTAAAAGCAAACTGGAATAATTCTTCTTAGCACTTTGCTCTAACATATTCCCAAGAATATCTTTTTCTGCTTAGCCCATTTAGGTTGAACTTGCTAAAATATAACCAATTCTCCTTATGATAAATATTACTAAATTCCTTAGAGTCAAGGTAGGAAAAAAGAGAAGTCATCAAGCACAGTATGTCAGATTGTTTCAGGAAAAAAAAAAAAAAAAGGTATAATAAATTCTCACCAATACAATAACTTGAGAAAAACTGGGTGGTAAAAAGAAGAAGGGTGTTCAAAGGGCTGATTCTAGTTACAATAATGGAATACCACCATAAACAGAATTTCAAAATCATCAGTGAAACTTGACATTTTTAGTACGATTCAGGTATATGGAAATACTTTCTTCGGTTTGATTCAATTCCATCCAATCATGTATCATTAGCAAAGTGTCTAGATTTTAAAATAGTTTCCAAAATTGCCTCCAAAGCAAGCAAATGTTTGTCTTGAGTTAACCTGAGTCTAATGCAGAATCTTCTAAGTTACTGTCACTTTAACTGCTTCAAAGATATTTTGGTTGGTTATGTAATTAAAAACAATATGGTACTCAAGGACTAAAAATTAATCCAGTATTCATGCAACATATGATTATGAATAAAAAATGGTGATAATCTTTAAATAGAAACCGTATATGTGTTTTATTAACATGGACATGCTTATTAGAAGATGGCTAGTCCCTCTCCTACTTCCTTCCCAAGCCTAAAGTTCACAACCTTGGAGTTTGCCAACTTCTTAAAAATCTCTCTTACTAAGACTGTGGGGAGAGCTTTTTCTTTTTCATCTTTGTGTTCCCCCAGGAGATCACTGTGCACATACTGAATCACTTTGTAAAAAGCAGATATCCGACGAATCTTATTGTTTGTAAGAATAAATAAAACTACATTTTATCACAACTTTGTATCTTAACACTAAAGAAAGATGCATAATACCATATAAACCCATTTAATTATTTTGAAGGCACACTTGGTACAAGAACAAAGACTATAACAGTCTAGAACCTCTACTCACCCAAGCCATGAACTGTATTGTAGTCTATGTCTGTCCCATATACATATGCACCAAAATGAGCAGATGCTATCAGAAGGCCACCTGAAAAAAATCACACAGTTATGGTCTGTTAACCAGAAAGTCCCAGACTCTTGTTTCTTCCTCTATTTAATCTGATCCAAAGTCTTATAAACTAGCTGTAGGCAGAGTACCAGAGAGTAGTAACACTGGTCCTGACCATATTTTGCAGGCCTCAGAATTAAACCCCTAAGCTGTGCTCACTACATTGGTCACAATGTAAGGAATTAATGTATGTACTAGCATCATGACTTTAAACAGGAAAATAACTTTTTTTTAATCAAAATAATGTATATTTAGACATTTTCATCTGATTTTGAGAGGTCTATACAAAGCATCTTGCTCCTTACTTACAAATGAGCATATAAAGCTACTATATAAAAGAGTTAGCAATAAATAAATTCTGACAACTGGGCTCAATTCCCATGGAAGCCTGAGTTTCAAATAACTTAAGAGGGCATAATTAATATATAAGACATTAATCCATACAAAAATTAAAATATTAGGACAAGAAATAGTTATTCCTGTAACCAGTGAAGCAATTACCTCTTATTTTAAACTGTAAATATGAATTTCTGAATAACTATTATTAAGCATACACAAAAATAATACAATGACTTTTCTGTTTACTTAGTGCTGTGATCGAAGTAAGAACAAAAGTCCCAATACAGTCTGACTGGATGAAGTAACTTGGTAGCTGTGCCCAGCTCACATACAAAGAAAAGTCCTAATAAATATTTAAAATTTAATAAAACCCTTTAAAATAAAAGGTAATAATATTTTTAAATTGTTTAAGGAAAAAAATCACAAAGTTATTTTAATAATTGTGCTTTCCATTGAACTTTACTTTTTTTATTCATCCAAATTAAAATGCTCTTAGTCCTAATAGCTATACCATAGAAAGGTCTGTCAGTCAAACTGACATCAGAAATTTATTCTCAATATATATATATTTTCTCAAATATATAGTTATTTTCCCTTATATCCTTCTCAAAGGTAATCTCTAAAATTAAGATGGGTAGTGCCTCCAGAGGGCCAAGAGCTATAAATTAATAGTATTCCTTCCATAGCCATTTAAAACACAGTCTGGGAACATGCACTTAAATAAATAGACTTTGTTTGTGAAAAATACTGTAACTGACTATTACTACTGGAGTCCATGAAGAAGAGAATGGAGGACTAAAAAAAGTACAGCAGAAACCAAAACCTAAGTTCCCTCATACTAACTTCAAGAAGCATTTGTGTGAGAGGGAAGCTAAGTAAGACCCTATTAGTCTTGTTCTATAAATGGAACCATCCATATTTAAGAAAGATACTGTATTGTGATGACTTGGAATACTCACAAAATCACTTCACCCAAATTACGAGGAATTACTACAATTCTGCCAATTAAGGCAGATACTCACCTAGAAGAACTAGTTGTCAAGGGGAACAGAAAAGCTTTCCTGTGCTTCCTTAAACAGAACCTTATCCATTTGGTTAGAATGAGTTTTGAGAAGACCCAATTTAGAGTACACTGCTGAAAGGAGATGAATAATCTGTTAGACTACATCTGTTAGTTAACTTTGTCCCCTTTAAGCTTTCAAAGTTTTAAATAAAGTCATTATAAATTAGCTTTTCTGAACTGATCACTGGCTAATCGCTGTTAATCATCTAGTTGTTTTCTCCATTAAATTGAAGCATTTTTTGCATTTAGTTATACCTCAGTTGGAGTTTCCCTGAATCTGGTGGAAGAAGAGGTGATAAAGGAGGGGTGAAGTGGTAAGGGGCAGGTTATGTGACTCACCCAATTTCTTATGCTATCAAGTGTACAAACTCAGTGTTCTAATTTCTCCTTACTTAAACAGTAACCACTTTAAGGTTAGGGCAATATCTTATAGGCAAAAGGACACAGTAAGTGGAATTTATTTACAATATAGAAACTAATTTGTGATTTTCATCATTAGAGATTTAAGTAAAAAGCCTTACAGAAGTGTAGAAATGAGAGAGTGGGCTTTGGTTTTGCTGAAAGGAGAGGACAAAAGGAGGAAAAATGGACTACTGTATCTACTCTATCCTTTTTCCAAACGAACTCAGGTAAGTTACACTAGCGGCCTGAGCAAAAGGATACTGTAATAGAAATTTTACCAGATAAACTATGAAACTCAGGAAAAGGAGACTACAGAGAGTTGTGGACAAAAATGGGAAGGAAGCAGAAACTATTCCACAGACCTACAGAGATCAATTATCTCTCTCCTAATTGCCTCTTTTCCTCCCCCACAGTCTCCTCCCAGGACCAGCACAGTCAGTTTCCCAACACCTGACACCTTTGTCTATCATTCTGCAATGGTAAAATTCAAAAGGAGCCGCACTCTTTTCCTTACACTATGGCTCATCTAAAGGTAGAATCAGCCAAGGAGTGTATAATGCTCTCCTGGATATATTCTCAATTACTAAAATAGCTGACTCACTTTAGAGAGGGGAAGAAGAAAAGGAATATCTATGGACCTCTGTCATAAAATCGTATCACAGCTACCTACAGCAACTGGCTATGTGTCTACTTGTACCAATTATTTTCATTATAAACAAAGAATTAGATGTTTACAATTTTAACCCTCGATTTCCTTGCCTGCTGTCACAATTTGCCAACAGTTCCAAATTATGAGTATCTTGGAAATCAGCCAAAGAAGGGACTAGAAAATGAGTTCATTGCCAAATTGTTCATCATCACCATTCAATATTGGCTATATCTAACATCTTTCACCAAAAAGGCATCTAAGTTCCTAACAAAATAATAGTGATATTCATTACAGTCTACAGAATGTCTACCATGTGTCAGGCAACTTCCTAAGAATTTCATATACATATATTACCTCACTTAATCCTCACAATATATTACTATTACCATTTTATCAATGATGGAACTGAGGCCCAGACAAGTTGAGAATGTTGCCCAAAGTGACATAATAACTAATAGATTAAGGATTTAAAACTCACTCTATTTGCTCTTTTCTCTATACCATTCTCTCTCCTTTGGGGTCAGCACCAACTGAAATAAATATACACTTAGCTTACCAATTAGATAAACAGAAGTAAAATTTGTTATTAAATTAAGTAAAGCTGCACATTCAATAAGAGTTGCACACCATTCACAACTCTTGTATATCATAGGCAGGCCTGTACCATTATAGGTATTCAACATATCATGTTCATCAATCCTTTAGCCATGCTCATATTAGAACACTAGGACTTCCTAACTACTTAGAGCTGGCCCAGTGATAGGTATCTTCTCCCTCGGAAAAAAAAATGGAGATAAGCAACTTTTTAAAAAATCTTATTAAAATGAAAACCAATGTAGTCACTAAAATGGAAAGGAAAGTTATGTTTCTACAGCTCATGTCATTCTAGACAACAATAGCAGACTGTCTAAAGAAAAAGGAAAGGCATTTAGGCAGGAAAAGATTACATCTCTCCTCTCAGTGTCCCAGAAGCTTTCTACTCTATCCTATAACCTTGAGAAAAACACAGGTCATGAGAAGTCAGTGGATAAAACATTTGGGAAGCTAATATACTTCAATTTTGTGCCTTTAAAATGGAAAAGGATTGGATATACTTGACTTCATTTTTAAATATTAGAAAAGGAAACAAGGAAAAAATACTATCAAAAATATTTGTGAAAAACTATGGCCATGGAGGAGGGCACAAGGTTAGTATTTCCCCAATCCTTCAGAAGGTACTACCCATCAGTGAGACAAAAGGCCCAAGAAAAAGGACAAACTATACATTAAAATTGTGTCTATTCACAATTATATCACCAATCTCAAAACAAAAGCACCAAAAACTAAAGTTCTAAAGCTATGCTTAAACTACAAATTATAAAAATATATTTTAGCAGCATCTTTGCAAAGATCTTCTTCTTAGCAATTTTCAATTAATTGTCCTACGTAAACAGTCACAAGACCATGATCTACTACCCACTCTAAGGAGCTGCTCTAAAGTAAATTAGGGGCAAGCCTCCTTGCCCCTTACTCACACTGAAGGTTATCAATATTTTGATTGCTGTGGCAGTTAGCATTTCATAATACAACCAACCTCATATACATCAAGGGAAAGAAATTTTACCTATGCTAGGAACTCTATTTTTAGACTTTATAGTCTTGTCTACATGTATGTGTACATATTAAGATTATGTACCTGTATGTGTATCAAAGAATTCTCACTTCACAGAAAAAATTTTTAAAGTCCAAGAACAAATTAAGGATTAATAAAAGGTTCAGCATTTGGAAAAAAGAGAAATTATAGATCCATTCCTCACAGCATATAAGAAATCAGAGAGGGAGACAAACTATGAGAGACTCTGGACTCCAGGAACCAAACTGAGGGTTACAGAAGGGAGGGGGGTGGGGGGATGGGGCAACTGGGTGATGGATATTAAGGAGGGCATGTGTGGTGATGAGCACTGGGTATTATACACAACTGATGAATCGTTGGAACACTACATCAAAAACTAATGATGTACTATATGCTGGCTAATTGAGCATAATAAAAAATAGTAATAATTAAAAAAAAAAAACTCCAAACAGACCGAGATCGAAAGGAAACAAAACTAAAACTATAAACGTACTAGAAGAATAACATAGCTAGATACCTCTATAACTTAGATGTAGGGAAAACTTTTGCATGGCAAAAAGCAACTGTTTGCAAAGTCAAAAACTAATTGGCAAACTGGAAGGAAATATTTGTTTTTTTGTGTGTATATATACATATATACACACATATGCACACATGTAATATACATATGTACACATCTTCACATACATTAAAAAAAAAGGAAAAGAGAGGGAGAGCTAATTCCCTAACATACAAAGTACTTCCAAAAATAAAGAAATGTCTACATAAAAATGGGCAAAAGACATGAAAAATATTTCCAAAAAAATTATTAAAATGGCCCTTAAAATATAAAAGGTTGCAACGATGTGGATGGAACTAGAGGGTATTATGCTAAACGAAATAAGTCGATCAGAGAAAGACAATTATCATATGACCTCACTGATATGCGGAATTTAAGAAACAAGGCAGAGGATCATAGGGGAAGAGAAGAAAAAATTGAAACAAGATGAAACCAGAGAGGGAGACTCTTAAACCATAAGAGACTCTTAATCATAGGAAACAAACTGAGGGTTGCTGGCGGGGAGGGGGGTGGGAGGATGGGTTAACTGGGTAATGGACACTGGGGAGAGTATGTGTTGTAATGAGCACTGGGT